AAAAAAAAAAGAAGGACAAACAGCTCGAGAGACCGATTCATAACTCCTGATCAAATTAAAACGGTTGGGGATCTCGCCCTAAAACCTTTCTGATGAGCATAGACCGAGCCCCGCATGAAAGTCCCGGATCGACAGCACGCATCTGTAGGAAACACGGACTATCTCAAAAAAGCAACACGTAACTCAGAGATAAAACTGTAGTTGATCTTTGGTCGGACTAACACAAATCACTAGTTCGTTCTTAGGGCTTTCAAATGATTATTTTGTCGTTCAAAAACCTAAGTAAACTGAAGCTGTCCAAAAATCATAATCTTATCAGACTTTATGTTTCAAAAGTTTGAATTGTTCTTGCATACACGGATTTCAAGTCGGCGGGGTTTTCAGGGGCAGTTTGGAAATAAGAGGCTCATGAAAATGTGGCATCTTACTTCTGCATATACTTATTTTCTTGAACTCGTCTAAGGTAAATGCTGTCTATTTTTTAGACCAAGTTTGTCACTAAAACTAATTCTAAAAAAAACTTGACGATCAAAAGCTTGTAAGTTAAAATAAGACTGGGAATCTAGAATATCGGTGTACCAAAACAGACGTACCCAAAAACGCACAAAGGAAAAAAAGAGAGCCAAAAAAATTTTAGTTCTCTTCGGGTCCCAACATTGGGAGCTGAGGACCATAAGCTAGTTTCAGAAAACTTTGAGGTTTGATGAAGAGGGGATAAAATACTGGTATATTAAATTTTCAATATTGGTTTTAGCCACGGTTTAATTAGAAGGTTCAAAATACTGGTTCTGCATTAAAATCGATTTTACTGATTTTACTGCTCTAATATATTTTTAAAACACCAATCACTTTCAACAACTTTTCTTGTTCTATTCAATTATAATTGTTTATTTCAGCTTCTAGTGCTGATACATATTTTGAATAATTGGGAAAGCATATTTAAGTGTTTTTGCGGTTATTTATGAATGCTTCTTTAACTTTAGTAAAACTGGGATGACAATAGACAAGCAACGCCTGTGCTGCTCTCGTTTTTTTTTAGTTTCTCTATGACAGATAAACACTGAAAGTGTGTAAAGGGAAACCAAGACTGTAATTAGAAAACGTATCACTTTAACATTACTTACCGAACAGATGTGTCACATGCATTTCCGCCTAAATGAAAAAGCCCGAAAGAAGTTGAGAACAGTAACACTAAGTAAACAAATGTATACTTGCAAAAAAACCATAAAGAAAGTGCAGAAATTATATGTTTAAGTGAATACTGTAGAGCAGCAAGAAAGTTAAAAAAAAAAAAAAGAAAGTGCAGGAAAAAATTTGTGGCGGAAGTATGCAAGAAGTTCATCTCTGATGAAAAAGCAAATGTTAAGATTACATAATAAACTTGACTACGGTAATTTGAAAAAAAAAAAGCAGTAAACAGATTGCTAATTGTATATTATGTTTGATAAACAGGTAATTCTGATTTCATCAACGAATTCGAAGCTATATTATGAAAACTGGGAATTAATGGAAGTATTATTGAGTGCTAATGACACAAAAATAAATCAGAATGCCGCTGCAGTTAGGGTAGATGACAACTTGCAAATGGTTTTTTGTTGTTGTTGATTGCAGTGATGTAATATGTTGCGTTAGTCTGTCCAAATCAACAAAGTGTAGTAACCAACGCTGAAGGATAAACTAAATCATTTCTTCTGCAGTTGGCAGGCACAGTTGCAGTGTTTGCTGCTGCTGTTTATAATTTACTTGAAATGTCGAAATAATTGGTGAGTTTTTTTTTTTTTTTCAGCAATATTGCTTTAGATATAGGCAGAACGCACTGACTTGCTTATAATCCTTTTGAGCCTACATCAATAAATTGAGCGTCAAAGCTCTGTGCAATTTGTTCGTTTCCTGTTGTTGACAAATTAACACTAAATATTTCTCTGTTTATTTATGTACAACATTGATTTGTTGATTTCTGATTGATGAAAATGTATTCGGAATGCGT